TTGGATTTTCGTTAGTTTTTATTTTTATTTCGTTTTGAGTTTTGTGTTTCAATTTCAGTTTAGTTTTAATTAGTTTTTAATGTGGGTTTGCTAGTTTTAGTTTAGTTTTTATTAGTTTTAGTCTTTGTCGCTGCATGACGCCAAGCTCAGTCCAGTTTAGTTTTTTCACAAAACATTAAACTACAAGTACAATCAGTAATATTTGTTTAAAGGGAAACACTTTGTTAAGCTGTTTGAAGCTTGTACATAAGGGCCCAAACACTAAGCAAATACATAGTGCAATAGAAGTACTGACACATTGTCTAAATAAATACTACATATATATAAAGCACATGCTGCATCTACAGTATAATTTCTAACCTACATACAGAAAAGCCTCAGAGCTAAACTACCCTGATCCTACGACCCAGTGGTCCTAAGAAATTCATTACATCAGTCTCTGGCTTTGTTATTCTTGGTTAAATAGGTGAAATACAATAAATGGAGGTGATGGACTGGAAGATAGTGGTGGCCCCCCTTGGAGCCACAGACAACAGGCCCCTAGCACCCTGAAGGCAAGTATTTAAGGTATTAAAACAATGTGAAGCACAAAGAGACATAAAACACACACTAGCTGACATGCAGTAAATATAACCCAGCGCACGGGGAGCTCACAGTCAGTGGGCCAGTTCATCACACATGCAGGATGAGCTCTGAGCCAGACCATCAGAACAGAACAAGGTAAAGAAAACCACCAAGACAGCGACTCACTACCTGCAACCCAAACTAAACTAAACACAGCTCTGGACAGTTGTTGCATTCATACTATTTTGTACACATGTAGGCTGTGTGTAAAAGATAATAGAAAACATGTTCAAATCCCACCAACTACGCAGCCGATCCCTACCCGGGTCTCCTTGGCTAAGTTCGCCTCCCCTTAAGGTTACATGGGGCTCTCCTCGTAACAGCGGTCGCCTTCTGCTACGCTGCTGCCAGACGCCGCCCTGACCCCAGGCTCTCTTAACGGCCACGCAGCGTGCCAGCTCCACACACGGAGAACAAAATCATCGGCTAATCACCGCTGAACTGCTGGTCCGGCCCGACCTACGCCCCACAACGTCAGTTCCCCCGGCTTCATATCTACTCCAAATGTAGGCTTATTTAGGGCCTATAATTCATTTGTTAGTTTTAGTTAGTTTTGCAAACCTACAATACAGTTTTAGTTAAAGTTTTTTTGTAAAGACTCGTTTTTATTTATTCCTTTCAGTTAACAAAAAATCTAGTTTTCGTTATTTCATTCGCCTTCGTTAGCGATTATAACCTTGCCTCTGACAAACCCGATGTTTTCAGTAGATCCTGTTGTCTCGCTGGACAGCGTGTTGGAGGATCACCTGAAGACAGCTACCGTTTTCAAAGGCACCTCAAAGACTTTTGGACCGCATGCTGTCAGTTCTTGAAGATTACATTCTGGAGGAAGTAAAAAATGCAGAATATCTCGCTATTCAGGCAGATTCAGAGCCATCTGACATTTCCACCCACTGCCAGCTGGTGTTTGTGCTGCGGTACATCGACAAGGAGAAGGTAAGCTGTATCCTTTATAGGCAGCTCTGTGTTAAGTGTTAAGATGTGGTTATTTCCAGTGACTTAAGTAGGTCTACTAAACTGAAGTACAAATTAGAGGTAGCCTATTTGTACCTTACTTGAGTATTTTCTTTTCATGCCACTTTCTATGTTCATGTTTTTGTATATTACTATAATAATAGAATATTGGCGTTAAATGATTTCTGACTATTTCACAGAGCATTGGTAAATTGTATTGGGACGGTTACTGAAACTGACTGGATATGGCACAACCCCACCTAAAATATTTTTCGCCGGTGTAGGACGGGATGGTACATTTAAAAAAAAGCACAAGACCGCCCCGAGTCAAAGATAAGCCGCTAGACTGACTGAGGCTTGTTGAGTTGAGAAAGAACAGCAGGTAGCTCACCTGGTTGAGTCCTCATTGCAGCAGGCTGGGGTTCAAATCCAGTCCAGAGTGGAGTGGGACTCACAGTGGACTGGGACTCACAGTAGAGTGGGACTCACGGTGGACTGGGACTCACAGTAGAGTGGGACTCACAGTGGACTGGGACTCACGGTGGACTGGGACTCACGGTGGACTGGGACTCACGGTGGACTGAGACTCACAGTAGAGTGGGACTCACAGTGGACTGGGACTCACAGTAGAGTGGGACTCACAGTGGACTGGGACTCACAGTGGACTGGGACTCACAGTGGACTGGGACTCACGGTAGAGTGGGACTCACAGTAGAGTGGGACTCACGGTGGACTGGGACTCACAGTAGAGTGGGACTCACAGTAGAGTGGGACTCACGGTGGACTGGGACTCACAGTAGAGTGGGACTCACAGTAGAGTGGGACTCACAGTAGAGTGGGACTCACAGTAGAGTGGGACTCACAGTGGACTGGGACTCACGGTGGACTGGGACTCACGGTGGACTGAGACTCACAGTAGAGTGGGACTCACAGTACAGTGGGACTCACAGTGGACTGGGACTCACAGTGGACTGGGACTCACAGTGGACTGGGACTCACAGTGGACTGGGACTCACGGTAGAGTGGGACTCACAGTGGACTGGGACTCACAGTAGAGTGGGACTCACAGTAGAGTGGGACTCACGGTGGACTGGGACTCACAGTAGAGTGGGACTCACGGTGGACTGGGACTCACGGTAGAGTGGGACTCACGGTAGAGTGGGACTCACGGTGGAGTGGGACTCACGGTAGAGTGGGACTCACGGTGGAGTGGGACTCACGGTGGAGTGGGACTCACAGTAGAGTGGGACTCACAGTAGAGTGGGACTCACGGTGGAGTGGGACTCACAGTGGACTGGGACTCACAGTGGACTGGGACTCACGGTGGAGTGGGACTCACAGTAGAGTGGGACTCACAGTACAGTGGGACTCACAGTACAGTGGGACTCACAGTACAGTGGGACTCACGGTGGAGTGGGACTCACAGTGGACTGGGACTCACAGTGGACTGGGACTCACAGTGGACTGGGACTCACAGTACAGTGGGACTCACAGTAGAGTGGGACTCACGGTGGAGTGGGACTCACGGTGGAGTGGGACTCACGGTGGAGTGGGACTCACAGTGGACTGGGACTCACAGTAGAGTGGGACTCACAGTGGACTGGGACTCACAGTAGAGTGGGACTCACAGTAGAGTGGGACTCACGGTGGACTGGGACTCACGGTGGACTGGGACTCACAGTAGAGTGGGACTCACGGTGGACTGGGACTCACAGTAGAGTGGGACTCACAGTAGAGTGGGACTCACAGTAGAGTGGGACTCACAGTAGAGTGGGACTCACAGTAGAGTGGGACTCACAGTACGCGCTGGAAAGAAAAGCAGTCAAATAAATTAGAACTCAACTTAGCTAAAATCACAATGGTTTAAGTTTTAATATCAAGGTCTGTAGTCGATTAATTTAAGGTAGAATATGGGCAGTACACCACAGGAACACTCACCAGGTCACAGACTGATGAAAGTCCACTGACTTAGAAAAGTTTCCAAGTTCTGTCTTCAGATCTCGTGTTTATTTGACCAACAGTCCAAAACCAAAAGATAATACGTTTACTCATCTCATATAGAGCACTGGAACAAGAGAATATTTTGGCGAAACGATGAGTCGATGATTACAATCGACTAGTTGTTTCAGGTCTCAGGACCGTCACAGGTTAGAGTCCCTGTGGTCTTTCTTTCAGGGAGAATTGTTCGTGTCACTGGCGACGCCTGGACTATGGTTAAATGAACAAAACAGAAATCAATATACAGTCAAACATTTTATTTAACAGTTGTGGAACAATTTTCTCCTGAAATTGAAATTTTAGAACAAAAGACTATGAATAATAACAGTGATCTGATGTGTGGTTTAAACTCAGCTCCATTTTTCCAGACATTTCATTTTAGATTTACACATTAGTTATAAAAAGTGTGTGTGAGTGTGTCTTCATCCCTCTTCTTCCTCAGTGTACAGCGGTCCTCGGTTCGGGGGGAGAGACGGTTTGATTTGCTGCCAACGATTTGGCGGCCAGATGATGTGAGAGGCCCGACCGTGAAGCAGCCCCACGGACACCTGGGAAATAAAATTTAAAAAACACACAACTCAGAGCGTTTTGTGATTCACGTCCTGCACCAACAAAGGAAGTAGTGTGGCCTTTATGTAGAGAAGCAGAATTAAAGATGGAGCAGCTCGCCGGACGCTCATGCAGAGAGTAAACATTGGTCCTGCAGTGAAGTCAGCCAGCTGATCAGCAGACATTTCCGACGTTGTTCAATAAAATCTAAGCAAGTAAAAAGCCAATACTTTACCAACACACCTGTTTAATAAGCATAAACACAATATTTTAATCTGCTCAGTCTCTCATGCACTGCAGCTGTATTTGGTTTTACACAGGCGCAAGATAAAGTAAAAGCTGCCTGTCTTTAGTAACTGTTCAGCTTAGTTTGCCACGTACATTAAAATATGGCACTAAACTCAGCTGCTGAAGACAGACCAGCCCTCCTCTCAACCAGCAGCAGCAGAGGGGGAGGAGGAGGAGGACAGGGACTGAGTTTCTAAACTTCACTCAGTATGCTAATGTCAGGAATATGATTTATTTCACTGACATTTTAGATTTGTTTTGACTTTGCTGTTGTAAATCCTGTTGCTGCTCCAGAAACAACATTTACTTAATGAAAAATAGCCTATTAAAGGTCCAGTGTGGAATATTTCTGAGGATCTATCGACAGAAATGCAATATAAGATCCATAACTATGTTTTCAGTGGTAAAGACTTCACATAATGAACCGTTTTTATTACCTTAGAGTGAGACATTTCTATGTACATAACCTTCCATGGACGTCGCCACGTTGCATCGAAATGTTTCTACAGTTTTGCATCAGAGTAATCTTTTCAACCATTCGATGGTGGATGAGAATATAATAATACTGACACACACCTTCATGTTGTTCAGTTAGCTCAGTTGGTAAGGTGCAGGACTAATGACCCCAAGACTCAAGGGTTTGATCCCACCTTGAGACATCTTTTTTTTTTTTCTCTTCAACAAATGGATTCTGCAGGAACTGTTTTTCAGGCTCACATTACGGCACGTGCTGCACTGTTTTTGTTTCGGTGTTTGATCCTCATCCATCAACCTGCAGACGATTTTTCATTTCCCCAGTATCTCCAGGCAGAGCACATTTAGGGGAATCGCGTAAACATTTTCTCTAACTATTTTAACATCAGCGTTGGTTTCCATGCTTGTTTGTTTACCGTCTTCTAAGGCAGATTTGCTGTGATTTTCTCTCTCTTCCCTGCCCTGGTAACCCCCGTGTTTCACGTCACGAACGCTATGAACTGTGGGAATTTCCATCAAGCAAAGTCTGCAGAAATGTGGACTTACGAAAGGAGTTTAAAAAGCGCTCAATATGTCCACGAGAGAGCCCTCGGTCACATGGCGATTTGACCGCGGGGCGGCGATTTGACCGCGGGGCAGCGATTTGACCGCGGGGCAGCCCTAAGCCCTCACAGACTTACAGGGAACGCGCCTCTGAGTCTGATGGAGCAGTGGATAAGAGACCCCGAGGCGTACGACCTCTGGATCAAAGCGTCAGCTAAATGAATAAATGTAAATGTCTGAGTGTGGACACGGGTTGATTGGGCTTTTGCCTTGTCACCACGTTCTTTCCCACCATCGTCGATCCCAACTCAACTCTCTTACAGGGCTGTTATTCTCTATCGGGACGTGGCTCTGACTTTGTTCAGTTACATGCTGATGAAAGTGTGTTTCAGTTTAACATGAAACATTTCTTGCACTTAAAAATAAGTATTTTCTTGAGGGATGTGCAAAAACATTGTTCTTACTCTTTTCCCAGACAGTCATCTCAATTATAAGCACTTCTGCATTATTCTAAGAACTATTTGTCATCAAACATCCAGAATTTGGATGAAATAAATCCCGCACATGTATCCCTTGGTCACCTCTGCATGCGCATTTTGATGCAGATTTAAATCCAAACCCAGACATAAAATGCTCAAGAAATAGAAATGTCTGCGCCAGATATATTCTAAAGTCTAAATATTTTCTCGTTAAAAGATCCTACATATTGAGTATTGTGCAGCCTTGGCACAGGCATGTGAGTAAAGACTGATGAGTAAAGTATTCTATTTATTGTGATGAGCCCATCTGCTTTTAATGGCCGTCTTGGGGATAAAAAAAAGACGACAAAATCTACTGAGGAGAAACTAAATGTAGAGCAATACTTATTTGGGAGGATTTTAAACAGTCTGATTTACATTCACACTCAGGTCCAGAGACCTGCAGACATCATCAACAGCGGAGATAATGAAAACTGGCAAGCTGACAGCTGAAGATCTAGTCGCTCACTGTTGTTCGACATCGTCCTCAATTAGAGTTGCTTTGCATACGGTCGAACACACACGCCAGCAAATGTCAGCTGCTTGAAATGACGCTTGTTATCTCTGAAAAGCTGGCGTCTACATTAAAAAATCCACCGGGCCACGTTCATCTCCATCTTCAGAGTAACCTTTAGACAGTCCGTGTGCTCCGGCCCGTGGAGCGACACAAGGCCGACAGCAGACACAAGAGGTGGTGTCTGATTGGGTGTCCTGTAGCCCGGGCAACGGGAAAAGAAAAGCCGCCACCCCTACAACAGCTGCAGGTCAAGATCCAGTTTAATAACACAAAGTAATGAAGCAGCTGATTAATATTCATCTGCTGCAGTTGTAGAGCAGGTCAGTGGGCTGTTATCTACTGAGGCAGGCTGTGAGAAATCAAAGAACTGAAATCAAAATGTATTTAAATTGCACATTTCGTACTAGAAGGTGGATAAAAACAGAACCGGATCTCTGACACTGGATGGCCGGGTCAGCTGGCATTTTTCTTTCTTTTAATCCCAAGAAACATGAAGCTGTTTCTTATGTTTCTCGGTTCAATGGTTCCCCCTTTTTAAACTTTTATTTAACAAAAACATGTTGTTTTCAGGAATTCCCTTTTCCCATTTACTGGTTACTTGTCCAGTCCTTTGCTTCCCTCTTTGTTTCAATCCAATTCAATTTTATTTATATGGCGCCAATGCATAACACAAGTTCTATCATTGCACTTTATTTCATATGTTGCAATGGTTCCCTCTTTGGTTCCATGGTCTATTCTTGGAGTCTTTCTTTAGTTGAGTGATTGCAACTGTGGTTTCTCTTTTAATTCATCTAATTCTTCTTCATTAGTTCCTTCTTGGCTTGCTTCCTCTTTAGCTCCATGTGTTTGTTTAACGGGTTTCTCCTTTGTTTCTCTTCTTTGTTGTTTTTCTTCTTTGGTTTCTTCTTGGATTGAGTGGATATTTGTCTTGTTCCTTGGTTTATTCTAAGGCTCTATGGTTTCCTGGTTCCAGTGTTTGCTTGTTTTTTAATTCCTAACTTCCTTCATTCTTGTCTTCTTTTCCTCTTCAACTTTTTCGCTGGTTCACTGGTTCAGTCTTTGGCTCCTTGATTAGTTCGTCTTTTTCTTTGATCCATGGTTCCTTCTTTGATTTAGTGGTACATTTGTGACATAATACTTTCTTGGTTCTTCTTTGCTTGCTAGTTCTTTCCTAAGTTCCTTAGTTACTTCTGTAATTTCTTCAGCACTTTAGTGCTTCCCCCCCCTTGGTTCATTTTTATTGAGTCTTTGATTCTTTCAGTTACTTCTTTTGTTTGTTGAATCCCTGCATAGTACAGTTTTGTCCTCTTCAACTCGCTCTTTGGTTCCTTGGTTTGCTCTTTTATTTTCTGGTTCACTGCTGACATATAGTTCCTTTGTTCATCCTTTAGTTCCGAGATTTTCTCTTCAGCACTTTCTTTTGTTCATGATCCCTTCCACACTGTGTTTCCTTCTACATCAGGATGGGTACGGAGCCTGAAAGGCAGAAATCTCATAGCTGGCTGAGCTCCGGCTGACTCACTGGTATTGATCAACCCCCCCCATCAACGCCCCACAGATGTATTGTGGTCATTTCGTGCTTTGGGCTCAGTAAAAATCTTATTTATTGCACCTTAAACGCTTTAAGAGGCCATACTTCCCACAGTGTGAGATCGACTGACATGAAATCTTGACTCGTCTGTGTATTGCTTTCAGAGTTTTCCTTCATTTCACATTTTTCAAAGTTTTGAATTTCTTGGAAAACTATTTTCACCTCTGAAACAAAAAACTTTGAGAAAAGTAAAAAAAAGCTAGACTCACAGTCCATATAGAGTTCTCACTTTATACTGTACACAGATGTTGTTTATTTATTTTTTTGTGGACTATTTCTGATCGACCCAAAAGCTGAGTGCATCATTTGTGGGAGCTGATGTGAAAGCACTGTGTGGTGGGCGGCAGCGAGCACTGCAGGCCTGATTTTAAAAGAATATATTATTGAAATGAGACCTGCTCGCTGGATGGGCTGCATCCTGAATATATATCCATTGATTTAGCAGTTTTAGTCATGTTCCTCCTGGTATGAATATTTGGTGGTGACATTAAACTGTCAGATGAGAGAGCGTTGTGTGACATGAGGTTTTTACTGCAATAAAAAGAAACATAACGGTGCGGAGGCCTGGCGAGATGCTGCCACAGCGTCAGCCATTCAGCGAGAATAAAGAGATAATGTGATTTTGTGAAGTGTGTGATGGTGATGTCTGTAAGGAGGGATGGAAGCTGACAGGCGCTCTTTAACTGCACCTCAAAGTGATCCAATAAAACGTATACTGGGAGAATGACTAAGAGACACAGAAAGACATTGAGATTTACACCACCTGGTAAAAGTTTTACACGTTTACAGTTTTTCTCCATTGCTTAAACACTAGAACCAGGCTTTTGAACTACATTTTCAAAACCATAACTCCATTTTTCAAAAAGCACACCCATTTTCAGCACAGGTTGAGCTGAATTAGCAAACAACTAAGTGTCATAATTGATAACACACCAATCAGAAGCTTTAATAGATAGATAAAAGGGCCAGAGTCAGTACATTCAGTTTTGGAACAATGGATCCAGAGAAATCTGAAGGAAGAGGAACAGTAGGAGTTGGAGGAGATGGAAGACATGGATCTTCTTTTGC